CAACTAACTGACTAGATTAAAAAAAAAAAAGATTGAATTCATATGAAGTTATATCTTTCATTATGAAAAAAATTGGTTGATCGGAAAACGTTGGATTGCTTAATAATTTAATGTATAAAACACCATATGAAATATGAAATTCGAATTAAAATTTCTATTTGGAAAGATTTTTTAGGCGTGATTCTAACATTAAATAATAAATTATTATTAATATAAATAAAAACGAATTTTAAAATCTCGCGTATTTAAATAACACACCCAATTCTTTAGAGTAGTCATCCAATTCACTTGTAACTTTTTCCAGGAAATCAACTTGCTCACATACTTCATCGATTTGCTGAATGTATGGTTCGATATCAGTGTCTAGTCATAGACCGTGCGAGTCAATCGCAATCTGATGAAATTAGTTGCATAGCGCATAACTATTTTTTTAAGTGAAATGACGCGTCATCAAAATTAGGAAGTCATACAAATCCTTTGAAGTTTGGCCATTTCCACAACTAAATTCTGTGCCATTCCAGACATTTCTTTATAATGATCTCGCGTGACATTGTTCATATTCTCTAAAAGCTTGAAGTCTTCGACCGTTGCTTTATTCGAGACGAAGAATTAGATCAAAGTAGAACGTATAATATTTAAGATCTAGGGTTACCTAATATTTCTCCTTTTAAATATTCGGCAACTTTGCCGAACATTTCTGTCGTAATTTTATTAATATTCTGTTGATTAGCTCCTCCATCGGTTAAAGAGGAAGATTGACGTTTCATGGTTTCAGGTTGTTGGGGCTGAGATCGTGTAGAGGACAGGTTTTGGGTAGAAGCCAAAGGTAATACACTGGAGGTTAAGGAAGAGAAAGTGGAAGTAAGAACTGATGTCGTATTCGTAATTGCTGAAGTTGTAGTGTTAAACGCCGAAGATAGAGTAGCAATTGACGTAGTTGAAGGTGGTGAGGTGTTTTCAGAAGACATTTCGGAGCAAGGTGAAAAGAAATGTTGGAGTACTTTTTACAGTATATATGACAATGGAATTGATAATCATGATAATCTTTAAAACGTTATGGCAATCGCGTTTTCACTGTACTGTATACAGTATTTCGATGCGAACACCCTTGTCCAGACGTCATAGGAAGCTTTTATTTAAATTAGCTCAACCCCTGTTCTTTCAACTCATTCCAGAAAATCCTAACAATTTAAAGTTTAATAA